TCTCCATTTCTTTTGGAGGTTGATAGCGAGGAGCAACAAATCCCTCGAGGAGGGCTCCTTTGTTTACAAACTGTTTGGATCAACTACCACCTTCCAAATGTGTTAAGTCTGGGAATTCATTCCACAAGGTAAGAAGAAATATAAAGATACAGAGTATAAAAAAACCGACATATGTATACCACAAACAAAAGGAATACTAGAGCAAGAAGGAAAGGAAGAGAAAGCAGCCCTGGAAAAACCGGTGGACCTGGAAGAGGAAAAAAAGCAAAGTGATGGTGAAATGCTTGAAAAAGAAGAGGAAAGTGAACCTGAGGAAAAGAGTGAAGAAGAAATCGAAATCATAGAAGGGCAAGAAGAACGTAATAAATCAAATAAGTCTGGATCAGAGGATGAGATGAAAGAAGCAGATGAGAGCACAGGATCTGGAGATGGGCCAATGAAGTCAGTACGCAAAAGAAGAGTACGAAAGGACTAAACTAGATTCAAGTATTTTTAATTCCTGAGAGGGATGTTTGGCATTCTAAAATCAGCATGCCAGACTTGAACTTTAATCAATCTATGCACATCCTGTTTCTAATATCTAGCAACATTTTTCTTTCAGACATTTATTTTAGTCCTTCATTTCAGAGGGGAAAAAAAGCATCTTTGAAGTTACCTGGTCTTTGAATTTAGAATAAAAGTGGCACATTACATATCGGATCTAAGAGATTAATACCATTAGAAGTTACACAGTTTTAGTTGTTTGGAGATAGTTTTGGTTTGTACAGAACAAAATAATATGTAGCAGCTTCATTGCTATTGGAAAAAATCAGTTATTGGAATTTCCACTTAAATGGCTATACAATATAACTGGTAGTTCTATAATAAAAATGAGCATGTGTTCTGTTGTACAGAGCTAAATGCAAAAAAAAAAAAAAAAAAAGAATGTGTATATTTTATCACTAGCTAAAATATCTAAGTGTTTAGGTTATATCATTATGCTAAATATGGCTGCTTTTTCATAAAATTAGCAAACATGAGTTTTTACAGCATAACCAGCAAGAAAAAAATAGGTAGATAAATTAGGCCAGTACTAAAGAGAATATATATCTGACTTCTATCTCTCAAATACTCTTATGGAGGAAAGTGTTAAAAAGTTAAGCAGTTAAAGGTACTTTCAGGTAAAGGTTAAACTGACTATGAAAACTCTGCCCTAGACCAGGAGCTATGGCTTTTACCTGTAGCCCAGCACTTTGGGAGGCTGAGATGGCAGAAATGCTTGAGGTCAGCAGTTAAAGACCAGCCTGGGCAACACAGCAAGACCTTATATCAACCAAATAAATCGATCAGTAAATAATTAGCCAAGTATGGTAGCACACACCTGAAGTCCTAGCTACTCAGGAGGCCAGGGTGGGAGGATCACTTATGCCCAAGAATTCAAGGTTGGAGTGAGCTAGGATCGTGCCACTATACTCCAGCCTGGACAACAGTAAGAGGTCCTATCTCTAAAGAAATAAGCAACTCTGCCCTAGAAAATGGTGATTAATGGCACAGTATCAACCAATGAATAGAACTGTGGTCTGCCTCAGTGCTCAGTCCCAGCTTACCTTGTTAGATACTTTTTTCAATGACTCGTTCTAACAATTCAAAAACTCTTCATCAGGCCGGGCGCAGTGCCTCACGCCTGTAACCCCAGCACTTTGGGAGGCCGAGGCAGGCGGATCACAAGGTCAGGACATCGAGACCATCCTGGCTAACACGGTGAAACCCCATCTCTACTAAAAATACAAAAAACTTACTGGGGCGTGGTGGCGGGCACCTATAGTCCCAGCTACTTGGGAGGCTGAGGCAGGAGAATGGCGTGAACCCGGGAGGTGGAGCTTGCAGTGAACCGAGATCACACCACTGCACTCCAGCCTGGGTGAGAGTGTGAGACTCTGTCTCAAAAAAAAAACAAAAAAAACAAAAAACAAACAAAAAAAAACCTCTTCATCATATCTGTTGATAACACAAAGCTGAGCAGGCCAGACAATACAATAAATGAAAATTTAAAATGGTAAGTCAGCCAAAGGGTCTAACACTAGGTTAAAAATAAACTAAACATAAATTAAGGTGATAAGTACATGAGTACTTGCTGTATTCTTTATATGTTAATAGTTGTATACATTCTTTTGCATCTATTAAATATTTTTTAACTTTTTTTAGGATTTCCACACTCAAAAGAATGAAATTAGCCAGAGGCAGTGGCTCATGCCTGTAATTCCAGCACTTTGGGAGGCCAATGTGGGTGGGTCGGTTGAACCCAGGAGTTTGAGATCAGCCAGAGCAACATGGCGAAAACCCATCTCTACAAAAAAACACAAAAATTAACTGGGTGTGGTGGTACGCACCTGTGGTCCCAGCTACTTGGGAGGCTAAGGTGAGAGGATCACTTGAGCCCAGGAGATTGTGGCTGCAGTGAGCCGAGATCACACCACTGCACTCCAGCCTGGGCAACAAAGCAAGACCTTCTCTCAGGGAAAAAAAAAAAGAATGAAATTGGACCCTTATTTGACACCATACACAGAAATTAATTCAAATGTAAGACCTGAAACAATAAAGCTCCTATAAGAAAACACAAGGGAAAGTTTCTTGACAGTGGCCTTGGCAATGATTTCTTAAGACAACACACCAAAAGCTCAGGCTATAAAAGCAAAAATAAATATATCAAACTAAAAAGCTACTGCACAGTAAAGAAAACAGCCAACACAATGAAAAGGCAACTTACGGACTGGGAAGAAATATTTGCAAACCATGCTATCTGATAAGGCATTAACATCCAAAATTTATAAAGAACTCATACAACTCAATAGCAAGAAAACATACAACTCAATTAAAAAATGGGCAAAGGACCTCAATAGACATTTCTCCAAAGACAACATAAAAATGGGCAACAGGTATATGAAAAGGTGTTCTATATCACTAATCACAAGGGAAATGCAAATCAAAACACTATGAGATATCACCTTAAACCCATTAGGATAGCTGTTATTAAAAAGGCAAGAGATAAGTGTTGGCAAGGGTACGGAGAAAAGGGAACCTTTGTACACTGTTGGTAGGAAATGTAGATTAGTGCAGCCATTATGGAAAATGTTATGGAGGTTCCTAAAGAAATTAAAAATGGAATTACCACATGACTCAGGCAATCCTGCTTCTGGTTATATACACAAAGGAGATTAAATTACCACCTTGTAAACATATCTGCACCCTCATATTCATTGCAGCATTATTCACAATAGTTAAGATATAGAAACAAACTAGTCATCCATTAATCATAAACAAATCAATAAAAAACTGTGGTGTACATATATAAACACAATGGAATATTATGTAAGCCTTAAAAAAGAAGGAGACCCTGCCATTTGCCACAACGTGGATGAACCTGGAAGACATTATGCTAAGTAAAATAAGCCAGACACAAAAATAAGATTATATGATCTCACATATGGAATATTTTAAAAGTCAAATGTACAGAGATAGAGGATAAAACAGTAGTCATCAGGGGCAGGGGTTGGGGTAGGAAATTGGATGATGTTGGTCAAAAGATACAAAGTAGCAGATATGTAGGATATACAAATCTAAAGATCTAATGTACAACATCAGGACTATAATTAATAGTATATTTTACTCAGGATTTTTGCTCAAAGAGTAGATAGATGATAGCTGCTCTTGCCATGGGGAAACAGTAGTTAACAGTGAGATGATGGATATGTTGATTTGTTTACTATAGTAACTATTTTACTATATAGTCGTTCCTCCTATCTGTGGGGGATTAGTTCCCAGACCCCACCCCAGGATATCAAATTATGAGAATGTTCAACTTCCTTATGTAAAATGGTTTGCATATAACCTATGCATATTGTCCTATATGCTTTAAATAATCTCAAGACTATTTATACCTAATAAATGTATACACTATGTAAATAGTTGTTATACTGTATTTTTTTTAATTTGCATTATATCTTGTTGTATTGTTATTTTAAATTTTTTTTCAAATATTTTTCATCTGTGGTTGGTTGAATCCATGGATGCAAAACCCACAGATACAGAGGGCCAACTTCACATGTATCTCATAACATCATGTTGTACACCTTAAATATATACAACAGAATTTATTTATTTATTTTATTTTTTGAGAAAGGGTCTGGCTCTTGTCACGAAGGCTGCAGTGCAGTGAGCCACTGCGCCCAGCCAATAAAATTTATTTTTAAAAACATTTTTCAAAATTGAGGATAAGTAAAGCACGAGAATGAAGAATAGTATGAAGTCTTTCCTCTAGATTATTTCATGGAAATCTCACCACAATCTTAGTAAAAATAAATTAATAGCCTATTTTTTTAAAAAAAGATCAATAGTCCAAGGACACTTTACTAATAAATGAAGGAACCCAAATTTTTCTGCCCCTAAAATCAATGGCTCATGTTACTACACGATTCTCTTTTCTATTCTAGAATGAAAGCCAATTATGAAAAAAAAGAGGTAGAAAGGAAAGGGGGACAGTAAGGGGGAGAAATGTATTAACCTATAGGTTTCCATGATCAAAGTAGTCAATGAAAACAAAATGTGGAATACAACCATTAAAAAAAAAACAAACAAACCTAACTGCAAACTTGGATTACTATAATCACACTGATTAAACAGACCCATTCTAATCTGAACCACCAGAATCACATCTTACCTATTATGTGAGGTTTTGAAATCATAATTTAAAGGAGTTACAAATTAGAGAATATCCATAAGGATTTCCAAAAGAGTCTGAAAACAATGATATCCATGAAACAATTAGGCCAGTAAAATTTAGCCTGGAAAAGAGACGCATATAGGAAGATAGAACAGCGATCTTCAAATACAGACATCAAAGCAGTCATCAAGTATCTTAAGCCTAATACACCAAAATGGACACAGACTCGTCCTATGTAACTTTAGAGAGTAGACCTAGGAGCAATAAGAAGAGAACATAAGGAAGCAGACCTAAGGATGATTATTTGAACTTTCTAGCATAAGGCTGGGCACAGGGGCTCATGCCTGTAATCCCAGCACTTTGGGAGGCTGAGGAGGGTGGATCACTTGAGGCTAGGAGTTTGAGACTAGCCTGGTCAACACGGTAAAACCCCATCCCTACTAAAAATACAAAAAAATTAGCCGGGCATGGTAACGCATGCCTGTAATCCCAGCTACCCAGAAGGCCGAGGCAGGAGAATCGCTTGAACCCGGGAAGTGGAGGCTGCAGTGAGCCAAGATCACACCACTGTACTCCAGCCTGGGTGACAGAGAGAGACTGTCTCAAAAAAAAAAAAAAAAAAAATGAACTTTCTAACATAATAAAGACTATAATCTGAAGTAGCTATTTCCACATTACTAAAGATAATCACGTAGAAGTGAGATCAAAAAAATAATCAGCTTCCTTACAAATCAAATCTCCGATTCTGCTTTCCTAATGCTTATCCTTAACATGCCGCCCTTGTTCTCTGTATCCTTGATTTTATCTGTATGCTAGTCATTTATTATCATTTTATATGCATCTTCCCATAAATTTGATTCACTTTTATCTTTTCCAAATTCAACCTAATCTTTAACTCCACTACTAGTCTCCCAAATTTGGAAAATGAGACTCCAATGAAGAATGAATGAGTTCTGAGCAAGTAAGTGAGAGGTCATTAGACGACAGACTTGAAGAAAAAATGCCCTTACTTCCCCTAAAATGGCCACTGCCTAAAGTACCATCCCTAGTAATTTTTTAATGAAACAATTTGTGTTTTGCAATATTGCACTTTTGTGCACAAGCTCCTCTCCCCTAATTTCACTACCCTTAGATTCTCTAAGCCTTCCCACACCACAGTACCCTGCACTAGCCCTAGACCGGATGCCAAATTTACCATAGTACTCTGATATCGAAAATTACATTTCTCCCTTCTAATTACAGTTTCCACTCCATAAGTTCAAAAAATATGCAGTAGTCTGGGCGCAGTGGCTCATGCCTTAATCCCAGCACTCTGGGAGGCCGAGGCAGGTGGATCAACGGAGGTTGGGAGTTCAAGACCAGTCTGGTCAACACGGTGAAACCCCGTCTCTATTAAAATTACTGAAAAATTAGCTGGGCATCGTGGCAGGCACCTATAATCGCAGCTACTCAGGAGGCTGAGGCAGGAGAATCACTTGAACCTGGGAGGAGGACGCTGCAGTAAGCTGAGATCATGCCATTGCACTCCAGCCTGGGCAACAACAGTGAAACTCCATCTCAAAAAATATATATATACATATATGAAGTAGGGGAGGCCAGGCACAGTGACTCACACAATCTTAGCATTTTGGGAGGCCGAGGCAGGAGGATTGCTCAAGCCCAGGAGTTCAAGACCAGTGTGGGCAACAGAGTGGGACCCCATCTCTACAAAATAATTTAAAAAGCAGCCAGGCATGGTGGCACACATCTGTAGTCCCAGCTATTCAGGAGGCTGAGGTGGGAGGGTCATTTGAGTCCAGGAGGTTGAGGCTTCAGTGAGCCATGACTGTGCCACTGCACTCCACCAGCCTTGGCAACAGAGCGTGACCCTGTCTAAAAAATAAAGTAGCCGGGCGCGGTGGCTCACGCCTGTAATCCCAGCACTTTGGGAGGCCGAGACGGGCGGATCACGAGGTCAGGAGATCGAGACCATCCTGGCTAATACGGTGAAACCCCGTCTCTACTAAAAATACA